CCCAAAACCCCAAAACCCCAAAACCCCAAAACCCCAAAACCCCAAAACCCCAACCTTATTAAGACTGATGAATAATTATTATTTTGGGAATAATGAATAAATAAGTCTAATCATGTTCTTCGAAGAAATCTCCACTATGATTTATGTTCAAAACAGATCTTTTGGTCAATTCAGCATCCATTTCAAGTGTAGATAACATCTTGATGTTGATATCCTTTTTCCTATCGTAAAGTCCCTTTTCCTTGCTCTTCCTTAGATCTTGAAGAGACCTGAAAGCATAGTTATTAGGATTATGAGTCTTCATACCATCCTTTGAATGCATTCTTTGTTGATAAATATTATTCCTGATGATGTTAAGCTTACTCATCAAGCTCTTTTTATTCTTATTTCTGCTTCATCCTAATAACTCTGTTCTTCAAGTGATTCTTTGCTTTAGCATGTCTTGCTTGAAAAGAATTAGAGCCTTCAGATGTGCTATCAGAAGAGCCTTCTGTTGGCTTTTTATAAACCACCCTTACATTGGACTTCTTATTCAGCTTCTTATTTTCATTAATAGTTTTGTTGATTATTGTGTCCATCTCATTTTGAGCATCCATCTTTATTTTATAACGTATTTTCTCTCCTTCTTTCTTGTCCATCTGATAGGTAGGTGCAAAGATATTCTTCACCTTCATCAGCTTGAACTTCAAGAGCTTATCGTTAAAATAATCAAATTCTTGATTTTGTGAAGATTTTTGCTCTTCATTTTCATTTCAAACATTGTCTTCGACAACTTTATCCACCAAGATGGACATGATATCATTCTCACTTGTGGGAATGGCTAGCTTACTTTTTGAGTGAGAATTTTCTGCTCTCTCAATTCTCTCTGAAGCATCTTTAGCTCTAGAGTTAGCTTCTCCTTCCTCCAATACCTCCTTCTTTGTCTTCAGCACTAGAGGATGGAGAGGTGGCTTTATTGTAGAAAGCATCGGGCTTTTTGAAGAGTTTTCTTCCCCAGAGTCTATCTTACAAAAAGACTTCTTGCTCCTGAATGAGTTGTCTATCTTTATAGGGTCTATTTTCTTGTTCTGCACTGAAAATCTTTGTTTAAAGCCATCTAAGGATAAGATTGATAGAATACTCAGATTTGAAGGACTTTTTTGGCCACTTTCTTGATTAATATTTGGAAATAGATATGATCTATAATAGGATATAATCTTGGCATCACTCAAGTAACAAAAATCAATTCGAACCACGTCACAGTCTTACTCTTGTTCATGTACTGAAATACTGTGGTGACCTTGTATATTATTTCGATACGAATAAATCTTCAAAATTGTGCATGGGGCTCATTTTTCCCTTCTCTATCTGAGAGTATCTCGTGCTCATCTTAATTCCAATGGGTCTCTTCTAAATTAGCATTATTAAATTCTAAAATAAAATGTTCGAGGATAACTTTAGTATTTAATTCATAAATCTTCGTTTTTAAGGAAAGCACAACTTTGCTGAATTTCTTCATGTAATTTACCTTTTTATTTCTGGAGTATTTGAACTGACAGCCTAGAGGCAATTAGGATTTTATGAAAGCATGAATTAGGCAAGTGCTTCTTTAATCGATAATTCGAATGTCCACTATTATTTTTACAAAAATTGGGATCTCCATTCTGGTGAACTTTTAGCAAAAATAGAACATATCAAAGGAATAAGTACTTTGAGGTGAATCTTAACTGGAATAATAATAGTTCTAGACTGTAGGGTCAGAAAAGTGGAGGAATTATGCATCTTTAGAGTTTAATTATCTGCAGATAGGCACAAATTCATCACTGCTTAAGCTGTATCTAAAAACTCTAAAATTTAGGAATAAAAGCTCATATTTAGCTAACATCTAATTAGGCTAAGCACAGGATGAATAGAATGGTGCTATGTTTTGGCTGGGACGAAGCTCCTACTTTAATTCTTAATCATAGTTTGGGGATTAAATCCTACCTTTCACAGATGAAATACTTTTCTCGAAACTGGGATTTCTTATACTTTCTATAAATCAGTGTTATTATGCTCATTGAGACGTTCAAAAATTAAAAGGAGAATGAGCTCTCTCATAATTTTCTAAAATTTCTTACCAGCTAATCCAAACGGATTTTGGATATTTTTATCAGAAATTCTTTTCTCATTCCGTTTTTGTGCTAAATAAAATAGAAAGGTGTACAAGAGGAGGTGAGGTTTCAATATTATAAAAAAGACTCACTAAAATACTGTATATCGCTAAAATCTTTTCGTAAAGTTTTCTACAGACCTCTCCAAAACAGTATAAAAATACTAGAAGCTTCTCACTTACACATAAGTACATTAAAACTTGCAGCTCCTAAGTTCATCAATGTTATTTCAATATTATATTTATAATTTGGGGTTTTGGGGTTTTGGGGTTTTGGGGTTTTGGGG